TGCATGTTCATAATAAATTACAACACTATAGGTTGTCCATAATTGAACTACTAAACTGGAAATATCCAGTTACTTTTAATCTTATCTGATAAGCAAAGTGTATCTAACTAGAACTGACAGAGAGTACAGTAACCAGTCAATTTATCATATTTAGAGAGATTTTCAGATCGAAATCTAACGAAAACATATTTATCTTAATTAGTTTTGTTGAAAATTCTTATTCCCCATAAATTAAAATTTATTGAACTATTATGATTTAGAAATATCATTAGTAAAAGGGATTTTAACACTGAAACTAAGATGTCAGTATGCTTAGTTGACAAGTCGCAACTAGGAGTGAACGCGTTTTCTGGATCTCCGTAGTAGGTACAAATTTATCTATTCTATAATTGATCAGAGGGGGTTTTGTGGAGATTCTAGTATTTTCATAGTTGAAATTATGAGTCACTTGAAGCTAGACCACCATGGAAAACCTGGAAGCACTGCTTGACGGCCGTTTCGACCTATTACGGGACTCCTCAGCAGTGCGCTATATATATATATCCTGCAAGATATCAAGGAGGAAACATATCTGAAATTTTTATTCGTAATAATAAACCGGTGCTCAACCGACTGAAACTTTAAATTCACGGTCCATGTTTTCCTCTTGTACGATGAAGTAAGTAAACAATGTTGAATGTCACGAAACTGGAGCAAACAGCTGTTTGGAGTTTATCATTATTTCATAAGTCTTCTTCTAGCTGAATTTAATGATGAAGTACACATTCACATCCCGAAAATCACCGAATGAATGACTGAAATTGAGAATATGAGGTAGTGGATTTCAAAATTTCGCCAGTGATTTTAACCCTGTGTTGTAAGGCATGAGTGGGTAATAATAAATAATTTTAAAATAGGTTTTCAATGGTATCCAAATTTATATCAGTCCATGAACAAAGCTGTCTATTCATCCAGAAATTTGCATCACCAACTAAATTCGAGTAAACAACCTTTGAAAAGTAGGAAATAATAAACAGTCATTTTATTCTAGAATAGGACTTCTCAGCAGAACACATATACGAAATCACCAATGATCGAACCTGGGACTTTCAGGTCTCACAGAGATTACCTAACTGTCAAACTACTGGATTAATAACTAACGGTTTGCATTCATAACTTCAACCAGTTTGTGATATTGCTTGACCATCATCAAATGTCATAGGTGGGGAACTACCTTACACCAGAAACGACTAAACTCAACTAGTCAAGGATTCTCATCAAACCTTCTTTAATTACCTCTCAAAAGTGGTCACTAGTGAACAGATCAACCTTCAGTATGTATTATCCATTAAAATCTAGCATACGCAATAACAGTATTCTTAGTTTTGTAACCGACTTATTGATATATCACTTCTTTCTCGAAGCGTTCAAGCATAAAATGGGATGACACAATGATAGTGACTTAAAAACACAAAGAAACATTCTTTCATCTATTTTTAAGGCTTTCAATTTCTCAATTAACCAGTCAGTTTTTGAGAAACAAATAAAACGATCAATAAATTACGATGAATTTTGGTTAAATAAAATTGGCAAACATAATTTCAACAACATGATTAATTATTCATATTGATTTTATGACATAATAACAATCCCTCTCTTAATGTTTGAATGATTTTTTTCTGGTTAGCGTTTTTTTAGCGAGTTGATTTTCTACGGGATGGGGTCGCTAACCCCATGCCCAACCCTCCTCCTTACCCGGGCTTGGGACCGGCAGTAACCCCCAGAGGAGCTACAGGCGGATTCGTCAATAAATAAAGTTTATCTTTCCGTTTTAATAATATACATTTTAGGCTTTTTTCAGTGTACAGCGATGACTATATCAATGGTAAGAAAACAGAATCTGAATATCTTCCGTCATTTTCTGTTAATATTGTACATGGTTTTGAACTCTAAGTTTGTTTCTACGAATGATTCGTGTTCATATGTTTATGAAGTCTCTTATAAATCTAATCCAGCCTTTTTCTGCAACGATATGATAGTATTAATGAATTTTCTTAACAGGAACGCTCATTGAACAAACATTGAATCTATAACTTTTTTCTAATCACTTGTTAGTTATTATTTTGGTTATTTTTTAGAATGCTTAGCAAAAGATTTAAGCCAACTAGTCTTACAATCATAAATTTTCACACATTTCATCTCATTTCCGAAGGACCATCATTAAATATATTCTGTTTAACGTTTTTTAGCGAAACTAACTAACGAAACAAACTATCCTCCTTTATCAGAGCGGCCTATGCTCCTCCACGAGGGGTAAGTAAGTAATCATTAAATATGGGAAGGATAAATTTTGTGAACATATGGTTTGCATGGTATATCAAAGCACACTGATTAAAAATATATAAATACTGAGCTGTTAGTAATAATGCAGGTCTGCTTAAAATAAATGTGTCTCAATTATAGTATCGTTACAAACAGCACAAAATGCGTATTTGCCGAAAAAGACGGATCATCTGAAGTCAGTATTATCAAAGGTAAACTCCAAACAATCATTAAGATCAAATTAACATTAACCCTGCTACACACGTTAGTTTTTATGTAGACTCTGAAGTTTAATTTAAAACATGTTGGGCTTTTGGAGTGAAAGGTACTGGGGTCAAGTCAAGGCGTAAATACTAGTACTGAGATGCGATTATATCCAGTTGAATATTCCCAAATAGAACCGAATGGGCATTCTGGATTCCACTACTAGCCACTACCCATTTCTTCGCAAAATGCATGATCATTGTTTAAATATAATATCATCATCACATAATACTTTAGATTTAGTTAGAAATGTATTGAAATGAAGACTTATACACTATTTTATCCATATAATAAGAACATTTCATAAAATCACCTTTACGTTCACTAGAATTACCGGTATTCATTTTCCAATGCTATTCAATATCATTTAAAGTACCGTTTTATGAAGTAGATATAGATGATGGTAGTGGCGGAATCAAGGATGCACATTTCGTTCTATTTGGTACATTTCAGATGGATACACTTGCATCCCGGAGTTGATATTTACTCCGGGACTATAACCCAGTACAGTAGCGTTCGCTTCAAACGCCGTCGTGTTGTCTAATTAGTTAATTAGTTCAGATAGTAACTGACTTGCGCAATCGGGTGAATTTTAATTTTTATACATTGGTTGTCTGAGTTATCTCAGAGGGAAAATCAACTCTTGGACGCAAGTACATCCAGCTAATAAGTAGTAAGTACTGAGGAGAACGGCGCATTCTGAATTCCACTGCTAGCCACCATGCTTGAAAATACTTATGACTTAGTGGAAATGTCGAAGTTATTCTCATATGCCGGAAGGGACAGATCTATCAAAACCTTAAACATCTATGGGACGATTTAAATAATCAATATAAATGAAATTATCTAACTAATAATTACTATTTAATGATTAATATTATGTGAATACTCATTTCAGACTTATAGTTTGCGCGGAGTAGACCTGAAAAGTGAGTAATGAAATAAAGGATATGTAGACAAAACCATCAAGACAATCCATTGTGTTTCATCTATTAAAGAAAGAGAGTATTGTTGCGAATTTGTTTCAAATATGAATACCATGTACGTTGGCTCAAATCCTTATGGTTGCCATTGTATATGGGAAATGAAATACATATAATGATCCTGTACACTATTTAAACAAACTAACCATTATTAGTGCCATTCATAGCTTAAACTAAATCTGATTATAAGAATGATTTTGCAGAATAATATTAAATGGTAAAACATCTAGTTGTCTATCTAATGATTTAAAAATTCATTGTGACGGAGACGTTATAACTTTTTTGGTATACTACTATAAATGTTATACATTTATTACTTTAATCAAGCATTATCTACTAGTTCAAAGGAGCCGAAGAAGAAAATCCTTCTGGTTTTCTGTTTTCAGTAATAGAAAAATTGAAAATAATAATGACTACACAACTACTTTTTAGTATTTTAAGCTTTCTCATCAATATGCATCGAAATTAACTCTTGATTCACTATAGAACAACGTACAATTAAATTTTAACTCACAAATCTAAACATTAAACGTTCACTAAGTTATTTGTAAGTGTGAGATTCAGTTGCCGAAAAGTTAGTCTTTACATACTTCAAAAAAGCATTGAATCCATATAAACACAATTATCCCATACTTTATTGTTTTCAATTACTTTTTAATTACTATCAATTCATAATGAAGACTATCGGTTGTTGTTTTTTTTCACATTGATTAATATCTCGTATTGATATTAAATTATGATTGAACTTTTAATATCTAGAATGAAGCTATAATTTACAAACTAACCAATCAGATATAAGATCACGATTTTGTGATTTTTGACGCGAAATTCATTTATACATTTGGCTAAATATCTTTTTAGAATTATAGTTGATGTCAGTTCGTGATGAAAACCCAAAATTTAATTCGTAATCTTAATCATTAACTGTAAATCATAATCTTTATTCTTCACACATAGGTTTTTTAATTCTTATTTAGCCTTAGCCTAAATTTAATGAACACTCTCAATATCATTTTAATGTTATTCAAAGGTTGTCCATAAATTATAGTCATATCATATCTAGTATAATATTAGTTATCAATCATATATATATATATATATATACATGTTATCTAAACTAATTATTATCATTAATTATAATGTTAAGGGAATTAATTCTACCGTACACTTTTTTATTTATACGCCTACGTATACATTAATTATTAATTAACCAATCAGAAATTAACAATATGATTAGACAAATATGATTGGCTAATTTATATTCCAAAAAAAAACAAAAAAAATTTATTCATTATCTAATCATTTACATCATTAAAAAAAAAATTATTTTCTCTAATGATTTCATTAAATTTATTTTTCCAAAAATTCATTCATATTTATTAATGGATTATTAATAAAAAAATATCAAAAATTAAACTTTAAAAGATTTTTACAATCATTATCTTTATCATTATGAATGGAACTTTGACTATTACATTCATTGAATATAATTATTTATTTAATTATACCCAATTTATTAATTCACCATTAAAGATACTTTCATTTAGTTTATTAATTTTGATTAATTTTAGTATTTTTGCATCTAACTTATTTATGATTATTATATTATTATTAACTAAAAATAAACGTTTTGATGCAACACGTAAATTACTTATTAATTTATCTATCATTGATATGAATTTTGCTTTATATATAATGCCTATATCTATTATGTATGTAATATTAAAAATGTATTGGATATCTTATTACATAATCATTTATTATATATGGATTATATTTGATATTTATTTTTGTACAACAATTATGTTAAATTTAGTTATTATAGCATTTGATAAAATGTTAGCTATTAATTATGCTGTTAAATATAATCAAATTATGTCACCAATACGTGTACGTTTATTAATATTACTTATATGGTTATTAGGATTATTGATTATATTACCATTAATTTTTTATATTATATGGTATCAATTACAATTAAAATCATCTAATGATTTGAATTTAATTTATACCAATATTGATATTACTAATTCATTACATAATCATAATAATAATAATAATAATGATAATAGTAATGACTGTACACAATATAAATGTAATTCAATTCATGTAAGTATATATATACGTTTGTTTATTACAATATGTTCAATGTATATACCAACAGGTTTAATGTGTTATTTTTATTTTCATGTATTCTCTAAAGTAATAATTAATAAACGTGGTATATCTATTGGTTTATTAATTGATAATGATAATAATTATCATAGACAATTAAAGAAAAAACAAACATCTTTTAATAATGATGATATAAACAAAGGGGATTACGATAAGATTCTTGATAATATTGATGATGATAATAATAATGATTATAATATTAAAGGGGTTAAATCGAAAAAGGATAAAATGCTTAAAGATAAGAATACAATAAATCAATCAAAACATGGTTTATTAAGAGTACATGTTGGAGGAAAACAATTACTATGCAATAATAATAATACATTTAAAAACCATAAATACAACAGTACTACAAATATTAACCATATTCATAATAATAATAATAATAATTCACAACCTGTAAAGCTAATTAATGATGAGAAAAAGGATATTGATGATTCAACCATGATAATCAATAGATTACTAATTGATTCAAGTATAAAAAAACAAGATGATCTATATGATCAACCACGATCAACATCATCATCATCATTGAGACATCAACAGCAACATTTATCAATGACAAGGGAATTTATACCATCAAATGATTATACTTCATCTAATCAAAAATCTTATTATCCAAATTCAATAAATTTTATTAAAACTACTGATAACCTAAAAAACAATAATAATAATAATAATGAGATTGTAATGAAAAAACACTCAAATTCATTATCTGAAGTATTCTTAAAAGTAAACAGGAATAAATTAAATGATAGTAATAATAATAATAATAATAATAAGCAAACGATTAATCAACAACCTGATACTTCACAACAACAGAATAATTTAAAAGATAAACTTGCAAATATATTACGTAAACATTCATTTCATACATTATCTCCATATACTTATATTAAAACATCAGAATTAACTCAATCAAGACGTTCTACTGGTAGAACTGATAAAGATACTAAATTTAATGATATTATCACATTAAGACGATGTGCTCTGATGCCATTAAATAATCATACAGCATGTTCATCAATAAGTAATGAATATATGAATTCTGGTAGAAATTCAGAAAATTTATCAAATCTTTCTGCAACATTTATAACACCAAGAAATAGTAATCAATTAGATCGATCAATTAATATAACACAAGATCAACTATGCTACTCATCAACAAATTATAATGGGAATCATAAACTAAAACGTTCTATTGAATTTAAAGCAATCTCTATGTTTCTATTTAATATTAGTTCAATTCTATTATGTTGGTTACCATATTATACATTATTCTTATTTACTGATCATTTACCTAATTTATGTCTTACATTTACTGTATATGAATTTTTTTATTGGTTAAGATTTTTATGTATAGTATTTAATCCATTAATATATGGTTCTGCATCAGAAGATTTACGTAAAGCTTTTAAACGTTTTATATTACATTGTGGTAAAGTAAAACATGAAAAAAAAGCATTAAAACGTTTAGTATTAGCTGGTCTTGGTGCAGCTGGTATACCATATGGACATAGAATAATAATACCACAACAAATGAAATCATCCGATTATAATCAACAACAACAACAACAACAACAAAATAGATCAGTTATATTTAATAAACCATTAATGATAATAGCTGATATTGATGATAAGACTTGACTATTTAGTACCATTTGTATTATATACATTCAAAGTTTTCTTATGTTTTTTTTTTCATCTGTGATTTTGAATTTTGTATTATAATATTATTGTAAATGATTGAATATATGTGTTCACCATTTCACCATTTATTGTTCAATAATGAACCATAAAGGGATATTTCTTAATGTGAGTAAATACATGTTTACTAATCAATGTCATTCTAATATGTTTCATGTTGTAAAAAGAGATAAAAACAAGCGCTAATTACTTTTTTCTTTTTTCTTTTTTCGTTGTTTTTGTTGTTGTTGTTATTATTTAAATGGATTCTTATATGTTTAAATTATTGAATGAACAAATGAATGTATAGTAATGATATATATATATATATATATATGTTTAATGATTTGTCTATTTTTATTGTCATAAGGGGTTTTGTGGAGATTTAGTATTTTCATAGTTGAAAGCGTGTATCAATTGAAGCTAGATCACTATGGAAAGTCTGAAAGCAATGGACGGAAGTTTCATCCTATTGTGGGACTCCTCAGCAGTGCATATCCACGATAACGCCTCACGAGATTCGAACCCAGGACCTAACAGTTTCACGCGCGAGCGCTCAACCACTAGAATTTGAGCAACTGTTCACAAATTGTCTTCAGTGAATTTTTATGTCACAACAATCGTGCTTTGAACTCCACTCTGGCGCGAGACTGATAGGTCCTGGGTTTGAATCTCGGGAGGCGAGGTCGTGGATGCACACTGCTGAGGTGTCTCACAATAATAGGACGAAACAGCCGTCCAGTGCTATCAGGTTTTCCATTGTGGTCTAGCTTCAATTGACTCACTCTTTCAACTATTTTTATAGTTATTTTTGTTTGAAAAACTGAAAAGAAATCTGAATATATAACTTAATATAGGCTGATAATAATATATTTTAGTATGATAATAATTACAAGGTATTAATATTAATCGTCAAGTGAAAGTGTATTATTATTGTCTGAATTCTTTCTTATGTATAATCGTTGTAATATGTATGATTATTTTTAAAGTAAATTTTAATTTAATCTTTGGATTATATTCAATCTCTAATTTTATATTGAAAAGAAAATATATGATTTAATAAAATGAAGTATAAAGAAAGCGTTATTCATACTCTTGCACTCATGTTTGATATATAATAGTCTAGATATATATATAAACAAAGATGGATAAAAGTTAATAGTGGAATCTATGACATACGTTTCATTCTATTTGTGACTCATCAGCTGGATGTACCTGCATTACACAGTTGATTTTTACACTCTGATAGTTGAATCTAGTACTATTTGCCTCAAATACTATCCTGTTATCTACTTAGCTATTGAGTCCTGAGTTGACATCCAAGTACATCCAGCTGACCAGTTCCAAATGAGACGAAATGCGTATCATGGTTTCTACTGCTAGCCACTATTAATCTTTGCTTATAATGCTTTTGAATTAGGTCAATGCGCACAGCATGCACATATTCCAATAAGAGACTGATCAATTGTAGTTGTAATCAACAATAGAAAGATATAAGCAAACAATACCAAGTGAATTCAAACAGTTACGATGGCTATGTTTTAAAGCTGCAATTAAAGAAATTAATTATTAGTTGTAGAATACATTTTACGGTGTTTTTCAAATAGAAGTTCACTTTGATTATACTGTTAATAACTACATAAGAACTAAACTTCAAGAATACTGTAGTGAACGTGAACCCAAATGGGGACAATCAATTGTATTTTGATACGAAATTATAGAACATATTAGTAAAATATGTGAGTCATACGGTAAATACCTTATTTGCAAAATGTCAATCAATCGTCTCAGATTTCATTGTTCTTTCGTTTCTACATCAATGATTCCCTGTTGTCGCTCTCTATTTTTCCATCATCTTAACCTTCTGCCGTCAAGCGTTTGACATTCGATTGATGATATATACTACTCATATCTGTCGATATTAGTAGCACACACTACAATACCTTTTAACAATAGTAAAATGAAATTTACGATCAAAAAACTATCGGTTCTCACTTTGAATATAGTACTGTTGTTTTAGTGGAAACAAAAAGGGTCACATGTAATTAATATAATTCTTTATATTTTTGCTTTGATGCTATACACTAGGAAAATAGATTTAAAGTTGATTATAATAAAAAAATATTATATCACACTTGATTGATCATTGGGTGGTGATCAATGTCATGCGTGTCAAGTCCGTCTATGTACTGATCGAATGCCACTAGTCTAGGTGGCTTGACACTGCGTGCACTATGTTGAGATAAGATGGTGGTTGGAGGTGGTCAACAGGAGACCCTGGACTTGGGTTTCGTGCTACTTAGCACGCAGTGTCGAGCAACCTAGACTAGTAGCCACATTGCAACTTGATCGATAGCATTCGATCAGCACTAAGACGGACTTGACATGCATGACATTGATCACTACTCAGTGATCAATCAATTGTTATTACATCTCAGTCCTACAAAAGGTCGTTTGCCGCCCGAATAGCTTAGTGGTAACGTCTCTGACTGTGAAGCTGGGTGACATGGGATTGTATCCGTCAGGGAGTACCAGTTCCCTTTCATGATTACAGAATATTACATGTTTGTTCATGATATAATATAATCTTCACATAAGAAAGTAATCTTAAATAAAACTCAACCAAAAAACAATGTGACATAGAAAGTTTGTTTTCGTTACAAATTAATATCAATACCATTAACTCATTGTAATGAAGCGACGTCAGTAAAGCAAAGTTATCCATCAAATGAATAATTATAATAATAATATGCAGATTATAATCAAGATTGTAAATTCAAAATGCCCATTTACGTAAACGTTATTGACTAAAAGATGCTTGTTTTCCAAAATAATGATATATATTGTTTGTGAAAATATCTAATATGAAAGCCATCATGTTTTGAATATTAATTTACATTTTCATACTAATAGTCTAAATCTATTATGTCATTGAAACTGAAAGAAAAAAAACTATGTGTCTATGTTTTATATTACAGTTTGAATTTGAAAGTTAAGAAGAATTGGATAATTCTTCTCCTAAATATCTGACTCTTCAGATATGTGTTCGACGACCGGACCACGGATAGAACTTACTGTCTTTAGGCCAGAAAATCTTTGCAATTTCAGCATGTCTGGAGTGAGTCAGTTTTACACTCAAAGGGTTAGATAATCCAAAAATATCGTTAATTGAATGGATTCGGAATCACAAACCATTGAAATCTCATTCTGTGCTCTGATGTTTAAGCACGCGTCTCAAAGACTGAGGGTTATGATTTCCATAGCTAATGCTCATGGATGCACACTCTCACGGAATTCTACTCTGTAATTAGTGACTGTTAAGTGTTTCCTGGTTTTCAATGATTCTCTGGCCCAAGCCAACTTGCAATTTAAACTAGTAAACACAAATTCCTTATACTAAATCACGGAAAGTCATTGAATAATTGACAATACTTAGCGATTATCAAGTACTACTTATTATATTAGCGAATCTAATCAGTAACTATGAGAATTCCGTGTAATTTAGACTGATAACCTTATTACGCTAATAATGCGGATGAAATCTTTAATAATGAAAACATTGTGTGTTACTAAACTACTATCTAAAACGAAAGCGTTCGAGTAACAGTATAATGAAGGAGATTAGGATTGTATCTTAAACTGAAAATTGAACTATTTCTGTGAAACCTGCTAAATTAATTTCATTTGCAGTAGTAATTAAACAACTCATAATCGAACGCTGGTATAATGAACGAGAATGAACGGTATAATGAACAAGTGGGGACAATCATACAATCATACAGAACATATATATGAAATCTAGGAACCATACGGTAAATACCTTATTTGCAAAATGTCAATCAATCGTCTCAGATTTTATTGTTCTTTCATTTCTGCATCGATGATTCTCTGTTCTCGTTCTCTTTTCTTCCATCTTCTTGACCTTCTACCGTCAAGCATTTCATATTCGATTGATGATATATACTACTTATATCTGTCGATATCAGTAGCATACACCATATAATGATCATAGCACTTGCTGCGTTTGCAAACTCAAATAACTATTACTTCTCAAATGAGTAATGAAAACTCATCTCAAAGCTAGTTGGTTAAGAGATTTTTAGAGGTAAGTTATTCTTTACTATTCAGTTTTGCTTTAAACGTAGTGTTAAATGTAATTATGATTATGAGCCAATAGTCACATATTTGAGATCATTTGATTATTTGCATCATAAGACTTATCTAAACTAATTTTATCGATATCCGAAACCTACGTTTTTTTTCAGATTTATATTGAAATTCCCTATAGCAAGCATCCTACAATCAATTTCGATTATGATTAATTTTGGTTAAGCATTTTTATTAACTTACTTAACAGACATCGTCATTTGGATAATAACAATTTGCATATTATTTGTACTGTTATGCCACTAGAGCACATGACACTCTAGCCAAAATGTTGATTGCTTAAGTATCATTCGATAACTCATACTTTCCCCCCAGATAAGTGTGCACGCAAATCCTATTATCAGCTTTTGTTTTGTTTTACTGTGCCCTAATTAAATTTGACTATAAATTGCCTATTTAATCGCTTGCTGCTCGCTCGCTGATATTTGCTCATGTGCTGATAACTTTCTGGCCTGCATCATTTGTCAATAAAACTGTAGTTGCCGCTTCTTTTTGCCTTCTGATTTTATGCACCGTTAAGATTTGTATTATAACAGTTATCGAGGTGAACGATTAGCGAAGCACAGCACTACAGCCCTACCAATATCGTTTTTTAACTTTTTTTTCATTACATTCCTAACGTTTAGGAGGAAAGAAACATTATAATAAGGCATTTAAAAATCTTATCAAGTCAATAATTGATGAGCACAAATTTTTATTTCACGGGGTCGCAGAATAAAAGTTACATTTGATTCCTACTTTGTATATTAAATGTATTAAGAATTCCTCAATGTATGAAGATCCCAAGTTCGATACTGCTTAAAGTCGTAGGTAGAAACTGAAAAGCAGTTCTTATCTAGAACATAGCAGCTGTTTGACACAAGACATCAGATCAATACCTTGAAATCTTTCAAGACGATCGATCAATAAACAGTCAGGCTTCAGTCTTAAGTTTCCTGAAATGATCGCTATCTGGCATCAGAAACTTGATCTATGAATTCAAAAGATGTTCGTTAACCTTTCTTTGTATTGACGACACAAATACTTCTTCACTACATCATAAAATTTTGTTTAACTCCTTCGCTTAATTAATTACTACGTTCATTTATTTAGATTGTTTGCTCATTTTATTCCTACTTATCATCTGAGTTTGTTTATTACATGATCGCTTGTTTCTAGCCTTTTGGTCTTTTATTACTATCAATTTTGTAGAATGTTTTCCACATATGATGTATATATTTCC